GCTAATAATGGCTGTCTTTCAGTAATATCCCTTTTTATTTTATAAAGAAATTTTTATTTACAATTATGTTTTATCGAAAGGCCGACAAATTCTATTTCTCTTTACCAATTTTTTTTATTTCTATAAACAAATAAAAAAATTTTTTTTAATTTTTTGTTAAATAATTCTGGGTGCAGTTTTTTCAAATTCTTGTTTTTCTTAATAAATGTCATTTTAACTTGTTCTCTACTAGACAAATGATTTTTTAATTTTTAATTCAGTACTTTATAACTCAAAGTTTTTTTGTGTGTTAATTTTAGAGCAGCAGTCTTTGAGTGTCAGTGAACTAAAATTGCAAAAATGTGGAACAGGATATGTTAAAGTAGCCAATGCAGTAGATTTTCACATGCAGCCCCAAATTTCATGAGTCTGAATTCACATCAAGCCAGATTTTTTTTTCTCAAAAGTTATGTCGACCCTTAAGATGATTCAGTGTAAAATAGGTACCATGTAAAGTCCTGGGAAGTACAGGTGAGGGGCATGATGTTGGCAACATCTTCCACTGAGTGCTGATTGGTCTATAAGATTTAGGTCTAGCACTATTTACCCAGTATGCCTAGGGGCATGGAAAAGGTTCCTTTACTGGGGTAGAAATGATGAACGTAACACAAGAATGGTACAAAAGAAGCCAGCCAATATATAAAGGGGATTGAATGAGTGATGTTCAACCACTACCAGGACCGTACAAGGAATGACAAACACCTGGTAAAACATAGTGCCACCATTCAGATGAGAATCACCCGGACATGGTCCTAGAAACCCTGTTCAACAGTTAGGTTATATTAGGGCCCCCAACGACAGCCAGGGTAGGGCTTTAAAAAAACAACAATTTGAGTCCCATATTGAGGCATACTTGACTATGATGGGGATTATGTTCAATAATACTGATGTATACATGACATATTCTTGTATATTGTATACAAAATTCATGCTTTTTGGAAGACACAGCTCCTGAGGAAAAAGATGTGGTGCATTACTTTCTGAACTCTACAATGTACAGAGTAATCAATAAACAAATGTTGAGATGCCTAGTACTGACAGGGTTAATCTGACACAAGTCTGTAGTCTACTTGCATCATTATATTTTCTATAGACTAAGATAAAGCAGAGGTTCTTGTTTAACTTTTCTAACTTCTGGTGGTTAGGTCAAATTATTTTTTGTGAATTCTTTTATTTTCTGTAATTACCTACAGTGCCTTCAATCTTGTTCATTCCTTTTTTTAAATTAAAACTGGGATATTGTATTAATATATATATATATATATATATATATATTTAAAATCTATGTTTATTCCTTTGTTTTTTCATGAGCTTAATTTGACATGATAACTTCTTTGAGCAAGCATGAGTGATATAAACTGAGTAAAAACATTTAGAAATTGTGGCTAAGAAGTATGACTAAATATACTCACCGTCTAAAATAGGAAAAGCATGGAAACAAACAAAAAAACCAGCTTTGCCATTTCTTATCTCGGTCAACATGCCTGAAGACCTCAGAGAGTGGCATTCCTCCATCTTCTTTCATGAATTTCTGAATATCAGTGTCCGGGAAACCTTCAGAATAATAGTGCTAGGAGACAAAATTTGAGATATCAGGTAAACAAACTCTGTAATTTTTCTGAATTAATTAGTGAGTTAAATTTTATGATCAAGAACTGACAAGATGACTTTTAGCCTGTTGCCTTGCAAAATGGGACATGATACCATAAGTATTTCCAGAAAAAAAATTACTTCAAACAAAAAAACAAAATGTAATGTAATCAGAGACAAAGAAAATCTTCACATTCACACGCATGCACGCGGACACGTAGACACACACACACACACACACACACACAGTGTGACTTGTCCTGAATTTAGTCTTCTTCCTCCTTTTGTTTTGTCCTACTGTCTATGCCATAAAGCATCACAGAGATGAGTTATATGTGGTTTCCTGTCTTTTGCTGGCTGCGTAGCTTGCAGTTATGTCATTGCATTTCTGTGGTGTATCTTTGTATCCCTCCACCCATCTCTTTCTTGATCAGCTTCTTGACTTGTTGCCTGCTGTTCTCATGTAGCGTGCTCTAGCTGCTGGCTGATTTTGTTCCATTTCTGACCAGATGTTGAAACCATGTGATTCTTTGTTGTTCTATAACAGTGGTTCTCAACCTAAGGGTTGCAACCCCTTTGGGGGTCAAATGATCCTTTTACCCTTTCATTGTAATTTTATGGCTGGGGGTCACTGCAGCATGAGGAACTGCATTCAAGAGTCACATTGTTAGGAACGCTGAGATCCACTGTTCTATGAAATCATTTACCAGTACTGCCCCTACCATTTTGTTAGTTCTTTGCTGGTGACTCTGTTTCTTCTTGTTTTTTATTCCTCATCATACTTGTTTTATACATCTCATCTCACACGTTTGATTTTCCCATTGATGTTTTTTTTTGTTTAGGAATGTCCATGTCTGGCATTGAGAGAATAAAGTTAGCACGAATTGCTAATTTATCAGCTGCTTTTTTATGTCCATGCTGATATTTCAATGCCTCAAAAGTTGCACTGTTTGGTAATTTATGTTATTGCCCTTTGGTTTCTGTTTTCTCTTTCTCTGTGCAATCTTCCATCCTCACTGAATACACTGCCTAGGCACTGAATTTATTATGTCCTTGATAAAGACTTTTAGTAAAATGTTCAGTTATATTTGTGAACATCTCCTACAAGTCTTGATCTGAGCTTTTCAGTCACAATTTCTGTTTTATTTAGTACTTCTAGATATCAGCTCAACTGCAGTCATTCCTATTTACATCACCAGTAAAGACTGTAAACTGACTTCTTCTGTTGGGAGTACCTGTTATCTTTACTGAAGTACTTGCATAAATTTTATATATAAAATAATAAACAAACACTAACCTTGATGTTCTCATAGTTCTCCATGATGACTGCAATGAAGACACTGATGACCACGTATATGAATAATGCAATGAAAATATAAAGGTAGGCTCGGTGGAAGTACCAGATGGCATCACTTGAATTTTCATTCAAAGCTGAGAAGGTCACAAACATGTCATCACCGTTCACAAGGGAGAAGAGGCATTCTGCAGCTGTGCTAATCCCTCGGAACTGCCGATGTACAAAGAATTATGATTTTAAGTAAATGGGACAAAATGTTCTCAACAACAACAAAACAAAACAAAATTCTAACAATTAAACATAATCATCATCTTAGATCTGTCACTACTGTCTGTTATACCACTTTTTATGGTGGTGTAGACAGGGGGTCATGAGCCTGATGATTTAGGGCCGCTTGGCTAGTGCTGTCCGTGAACCATGCAGGTTATGATGTTTAATTTAGCCCCTGCCAGAAAAACTCCCTCATCTTACCAGGGGTAGAACCCGAGTCTACCACATGAGGGCCAGATGTTATAACCACTCGGCCAGCCACTCCTCATCTTAGATCAAAGAAAGAAAATTTACTTTCTTGTATGAAATTGTAACCAACAAACCTGTCTGCTTTTCAATAGATGACAAAGATTTAGACAGCAAGTGAACAAACTAGGCAACATTTGTGAATTGAAGTGTAAGCTTTTTTCATCTAAAGTCAAATAAATGTATGAAGAAGAACTGATGACACTGCATTCTAAACAAGTCCATACCTGCTTCATCATCTTTAAAGTCTGTCCACCGATAATAAAACTGTCTTCACTATCCTAAGTAAAAAAGTAAAGGACCCTTTCCCACACCTTGAGGCGTATTGGGCTTACAGAGCTAAACCTATATTTTATAGACAAATCGGGACTGAGTGGATGATGCGGTCAGCATCACACTGGCCACATTTACTTCCCAGGACTATACCTGGTACCCATTCAAGGCTGGGTTGACCTGAGAGCCAAGGTCCTTTTTGTTTTAAAGTCTAGCCATTACACCACGAAATAAGGTTGAAAAAACAAGCTGTGTTTTTTTATGCATATGGATCTTGCTAATCACATTCACAATCATCATGGGCTGTCGTTCCCATGCCTCACTAAAGCACAGTATGCCACAATTGTCTGAAAAGACATCCATGAACTCATTTGTCTTGTCTCTTCTTTCTTTAGCGTTTTTTATAACGCTTTGTAATACACTGTCTTGGGTATGTTTTTGTATTTTGGACAAAAGTCTAAAGATCAGTCTCATGACCCCAGTAGAAGTATCCTTGTGCACTCCAGCATAATTCTAATCCTTTCATTCTGAATTCACACAGTTCTCATTTCATTCTGCTTTCCATCATCAGATAGAGAATATGCCTTCCACCAAACAAGACTAAGTCCATTGCAGAACTTTTCACAACTGGCTGGATTATGCAGCAACAGTTTTATTTTCTCTCAGTGGCTTTCAACTCTTTAGGTGGCCCTCTCTTGAATATATGACAAGATCCCACCCCCACTCCCTCAATATCAATGTGATGGTTGATAACTTTATTTTTGGATGATATCTGCTATGTTTGATCTGATGTTGTACAAGGCACAATGGAGATCACTCTTCAAGTCAAGCTGTTTACTTTTCATTATTGTTAAATTTTAATGTATAATTAAACAGAAAAAAATGTTAGTATAACAAAAGGTAAAGTCCGGAGAAGTGAACCGGCGCCATTGCACACGGTTATAAACCATAAGTGCTCTGCCACCAGTACGGACAGCTGATAAGACACTGTCTGCGTGTGTCGCCGTCCGCACACAACTCCATAGCTACAGCGAGGTTCCTCTATTTACCCCATAGTGTTAACTCTGGTACCCATTTCCTAGAGGCTGAGTAAACCCCGGGAACCGTCTGGTTTCGAAACACTGGCCGTGTGCTGCAGTGGGTCAGCAAGTCTCCTATCGACTGCGCTAACGCGGCCTCCCATAGTATAACAGATTATAATAAGTCTAAATGCACTCAATTTTAAAATGGCTTGACATCTCCATTAAAAATTCTTCACATACCTTCATGCGATTTCTTCACATACCTTAATGTGATACGGAGAAAATACTATCCACCCACAGAGCATGAATCCAGCAAACAAACAGATGGCACACACAAGAAATCTCAAGACATGTGGGAAGGATGTCTTCAAAGTTAATATCAGAATCTGGAAAATGGACAATTATGTGATTTTTATCAAAGTAATGTTACAAGTTTTTAACAAAGAAGAATAAGTTTAGGACCATTTCACACCAGTGGCACACTGGGCATTTAGTGCTAGACATGGGCATATGATGCTATATATATATTTTAGAGACCAATTGGCACTTGATGGGTTAAGTTGTCAACATCATGCTGGGCAACATTCACTTCCCAGATCATTATCTACTTAAGTAATATAAAGAATTATTTTCCCTAGAGCACTAGACATATGGTGCCTGGTCCATATTTTGTACTGACCAGTTGGTACTTGATAAGCTAAGCTGTCAAAATCATACTGGGCAATATTCACTAACCTACTAAGTAATGTAAAGAATTATTGTTTACTAGAGTATTAGACATATGGTGCCAGGTCAATATATTTTTTATTGACCAGTCAACACTAGATAGATGATTTTGTTGACATCATAATGGGCAACATTCACTAACCTATTTAAATGATGAAAAGCCTTATTTTCCCTAGAGCATCGAACAAATGGTGCCAGGTCCATATTTTTTATAGATGAGTCGGCACTGGATGGATGATGTTGTCAACACCATAGTAGGCAACATCCGCTGTTGTTCTTCCATCATGAGTGATGAAGACCAGTCAACACCAGAGGTATGATTTTGTTGACATCATACTGGGCAACATTCATTAACCTACTAATGTAAAGAGTTATTTTCACGAGAGTATTGCACATATGGTGCAAGGTCCATTTCTTTTATAGAACAGTCAGCACTAGAAACTGAAATGGCTTGGGCATATTGAGAGAATGTCAAATGACATAGGGGTAAAAACTGTATTCACAAGGAAGCTGAATGGTCATAGACCATGAGGCAGACCAAGAAGACGATGGAGAGATAATGTCTAGACAGACCTGCAAACACGTGGTATCACCAACTGGAAAGAGAAGGCCAACCAGAGACTGAGTGGAAACGGGTGATATCTGCAGCAATTAACCTCAAGGGCTCGGACGCAGCAGAAGAAAAAAAAGTCAGCACTAGATGGTTGATGTGATCAACATCATATGAGCCACCTTTACTTTCTTGGACTCTTCCTGATACCTATTTTACACTAGAAAGAACATCCTCTCTGGTAAATTAAAAATGGGTAGAAGATGTTGTGGCTGACCTCTATTATGATATAAATATGTGGCACATGAATGATACACGTATTGAGGTGGAATCCTGGGAACCGAATGCCATGGACCGTGTTGTGTGGAGGGGGGCGCATTAGGAAGGGAATGAGAATAAAGGAAGAAATGATTGTAGAAACGATGAGAGCTGAGCATCTGAGAAGAAACAGACTAAACACAAATGTTGACAACAACGGTCCAGAAATCCCATGCTATAATTGTGGAAGACTTGTCTTAACGAGGGCAGGTCTTGCTAGTCACACTCACCATTGCCATGGGCTGTGCCTCCTCATAGCGCAGTATAATCCAACAATCCGCAGCCATAATAATCTTCTTTCTTTACTGATTCCATTGCTTGTTCCCAAAGGGCCTTGACCACATCTGCCTTGTCATGTATCAATTCACTACCCACTGGTGCGAGTCCATCCAGTCTGTCTGCCTGTTCATTACCCACCACGACAACATGGCCTGGAGAAAAGATCCAAAGTATGCTCGCCACCCGTGACCTTTCCAGTGAAGCTAGCCACTCTTCTCGAAGCATCCCTGTTCTCACCTTTTTCAGCATGCTTTCAGAGTCTGTTACAATTATGACATATGTATGTATCTTGTTCTCTAGCCACCTGAGAGCTGCAGTTATCGCTTCCACCTCCATTCTCATGCTAGATGTTGTGGTGTCATATGCTAGGCTGTCTTGCACTAAAGATTTTCCATTGGCTTTCGCTACCAACCCCCAGGCACTTCTCTTTCCTCTCAACACTGAACCATCTGTATAGATAATCAGATCACCTGGGCGTGAATTGTCGTGAGTCAACTATTAGACTTCAACGTCAGTAGCACCCGCTGGCCACTCTCTGCACACCCGGTCCAACGTTGCCAATCAGACCAATCAATTTTAGACTAGATCCAACTGTGAACCATGCCATTTTTTAAAGCTACCAGTTATAAATAGAATGCCAAGCAGTATTTCATAGGATGAAGAATATTCTATGCAATCTATTTTTTAGGTGAGACAGAGAGCTCCCAAGGACTTAAAGCCAGTGTTGATGTACAGAAGTGAAGCACTGACAGTCAGCCAATTGGTGAAAAAGTCAGGTGTATGGTTTTATAGAAAACTGATGAGAACACACCACCAACAGATCTTTTTCTTCTTCTTTTATAACTCAAGGTGATGTATTCAAAAGTTATGTTCAGTATTGTTATTCATAAACGTATCATCCTCAGAATAGATCACTCTAATCTCAGGTGCTCATTTCTCTAGCTGAAGTATCTAATTACCACCATACCACCCCTGTTTATTCAATATTTCAAAATGACTTATGTCATCTAAATGATTGTTAGGATAACAAATCAAATATCAAGTTTTATACTGCATCGTTTGTCTAAGTGTATTTGTTCTTATATGTTTAACTAAACTGTTAGAATTACATTTGGTGGGGGCTCTTTAATAATTCAGGAGGAGGTCGTTGAGAGGGGTCACCTGCCCTGTCTAACCATTGATTAATTAAAGTAATCTAGACATTTAAAACCCATTTCCTTCTCCTGTGGGTACTAAGTGCAGCTGCTGTGAATTTACAGGACGAGCCAAATATGGCCGTTTTCTTTGATTTCCAGGACTTTGTCTGAGATCCACATAGCTTGTATATTAGTCCAGTTTCCCTGGTGGAGGTGAAGTGTTGAGAGTAAAACTCCTACTCATCACAAAAGCATCTATCCACCCGGGGACTCACGAATGATGGCCATCTTTATCAGAAAGGACTGTCACACAAGACGGAAGGTTGTGGACAGACATTATTACCAACACCAAGTAGCATGAAGTGTAAGGAGAAGAATATTAATTCATCTATATATGGTTACATTTCTTTTGCATCACTTTATTGTCACTTAGACGAATCTGCAAGTTACCCAATTTCCTCTTCTTTATTAGGAGATAGAGTAAAATGTGCTTCCCATGTGGGATGCAATTTTGCATTATTTGAAGCCCCACCCTGGCTTTTGCCAGGCGCCCTGAATATAGCTGGACCATGAATGTGGCCATAGCAGCTGAAAGGGGTTTCTGGGATCTCTCCATGGGTGATCCTCATCCGCATGGTGGCACTTTGTGTCTCCGGGTGTTTGTGGCTTGTGTGATGTCCTGGTGGGGTACAACAAGCAAACAAGTAGAGTAAATCTCCCTTATTACACCACTGGCAGACTGGGCATATTGAGGTAGATTTATAAATTTTTAGACTAAGCAGTAATTTACGGCTGATATGGTCAACACCACACCGGCAATCCTTTACTTCTCAAGACATTATAGCTAGTATCCATTCTAAGCTCGTTTGACTTTGGAGCCAGTAATTTTTGTAAATATTAACTTGAACCCAACACCTTTAGACCAGCAGAAAGAATCTCTAGGCAGGCTACCACCATTCAATACATTCATAGTCCAGTGCCTTATTCGTGTCCATGGGCAATCACACCTCTCTGCAATCTGCGATCTGCAACTGCATATATCAGTTTGTGTGTTGACACTCCTTTATGCCATGACAATAGGCTCTCAAAAATCTTCAGTACAATAATTTTAACTTACCCCATGATGTCACGGTGACATCACAGGAGACATTCAAATAATTTCCAGGGGGGTAAGGTTGGAGGGATTTTTCCCTTCTAGAGTGCATCGCAAAAGGGCGCACTTGTTGGTGCCTCTTATGACGTGTGTTTACAGCATGCCAGCAGTCTTCATCTTTGCCGCGTCTGGTTGCAGCAGTTTGAATCTTTGTTTGCTGTTCATTCCAGCCATGAATTTTCTACAATTAGTAGCATATGTACGAGATAAGTAGACCTGCATTGTCTTCCTGCAACAGCATGGCATTCTGCACAGAACTAGATGTTGCAGAAATAACCTTCAGATAGATGGTGTATTATCGCTGCCGGAAAGACACATGACCCTTTGCAGGTGTCGAAAGTCCACCTGTCGTCTGGACATACCCGTACGGCAGATTGCAGACCTCTTTCCGGGGACTATACCACCACCGCTGAGAGTATCCCGTGTGGTGCGAAGCAGGGCTAAACTAGATGGCTAGGACTCATGAGCAGCAGCTACCGCATGTCCTGCAGCTTCTTCTTTTTTTTTTTTTTTTTTTTTTGCTCGTGAGTCCAAGCCATCTAGTTTAGCTCCCGCCATGCATAGTAGTGCGGAGGATACTCTTGGCAGTGGCGGTATAGTCGCAGGAAAGAGGTCCGCAATTTACATGTGACTGAGGCCCTGGTAGAGTATATTTTCGGCCTCGATAATTAAGCCAAAAAAAAAAATTTAAAAATTTACATTCAATTAAAAAAAAAAATTTATTTAAAAAAAAAGGGGGCACTTAGGGATTGAATGCAGCACCTTTCATTTATAAGGCGGATATGATATCAACTATGCTACACATTCGCATGACAATTTAATATAAACATGACCAGTATTGTACACTGGGCAATTGCGCATCATTAAGCAGCCGACTGCACACCAACAGACAGATATATGCCACGCCAAAAAACACTAGAAGAGAAACGACAGCATCAGTACACTTACACCCCTTGAAATAGTGGACTGTCCAGTCAGCTGTGGAATTCCCAAGGATTCCATGTGTTTGGGGTGGGTAAAAAATATTGTTCCAAAAGATCTTGTATTGTCTTCATCTGCCTCTCTTTCCACAGATCTGTCCTTTGGTCATAACATGTTCAATTTTCCTCTCATAAAATGACCAGAAAATTAGGACAGTCTCTTTCTGATGTTCATGACAAGTTGCCTTTGAGCCCTCACCTCTTTCAGAACATCTTGGTTGCTCTAAGGAATTCTAAGGATTTTTCTGTAAAACATCATCTCCAAGGCCTCAGCAAATTGTTTGGCCTTCTACATTACACAAGGATAATATCAGCACAGGATAAACTCAGCAGTACTTTCAAGTCACTTAAATCTGATTTAGCAGTATCTATCCTAAAATATATATTTTTGTTAAACCCACAGATGAATGATGGCACTCACATTGTATGACTTAAAAAACCCCAAGTATCGAAGTATGCCAATATAAGTGAGGAAAACACCAAGTCCCAGAAGTATGCTGCAGATTTCATAGTTCTCAGATGAGATTGAGAAGACCTGAAACAGACAGAAAATCATATTATTTGTTAAGTAATTCACTTCACACTTAATGTAAACTCTGTATCTGTCTAATTATTTTGTTCATTATTGTGTGAAAATGTGAGTGTTGGCATAAATTAGACAGTATATATGAGATTAAAATAGGTTTTCAAAGGCAAATAAAGGTAATACCATAACATATACTGACATTAGGGTACGACGTGAGGTGTTCAGTACTTTTCTTATTATCTTGTCATCTCAGACAAGTCTTGCCACCTCCCCCCCAAAAAAGGTAAAAATAATCGGGTATCCATTTTTATCAGGCTTAATTGGCTCGAGTCTCTTTAGTTTAAAAAAAAAAAAAAGAATCAATCCTCTCACAGTGGTTTCTTGTCTGCATGTATTTATTTTATTTGAAAGTAACAGACTTTTTATTTTTCAAGAAATAATTCCCTGTTATTCAGCTGCACAAAAAACCTTGGCGGGGCACCAAGAGAGCTAAGTATTCTTCTTTGTTCTGTTGTTTCTGTAACACATAACACACATAAGTGGCTGGACAGGTTGGCACCTTTCCGTTTTTCCAGACAACAGTGTTATGTTTTAAGGAGGCATAGCAATTACAGCCCATTGTTTCCTAGATCAGTTAAAACCAGGGATAAAGTTCTTCCTCTCCAAAGCACTAAGCCTTGGCTTGGGAGTGGAGGGTGAGAGGGGGTATCAAGCAATTTTAAAATTAAGTCCATTTGTAGAAACAATGCATTGCCCATTCATTATGACCCTTCTTCTAGCTTGCCTTGTTTCCTCCAAAGGAAAGGTAAACCAGTATGTTTGGAACAAAGCAGTAAATGGAACATACAAAGGACTCAAAGATAATACATACTCGAGTTTCTAGCTCAATCTTGAAGGCAGAGCCAATGACTGTCAGAAGATCATTGCAAATGATAATGATGTACCACATGTTGATATATTCTAGGTGGCTAGAAAACCTGAAAGGTTTGCCTTTGTGAAGTTTGAAGAACTTTGCTGTGTCCTATTAGAGCAAAGTCAAAACATGACTACATTACTGATGAATCATACATATTAAATGGAAATGCTTTTGTATTATTTCTTTAAATAATCAGACTTCTTCTTCATTGTTTACTGGCTGTAAGCTCTGACAGAAAGCCCTGGTCCATTTGGACTTTGGCTTTGTGCCAGGGCCTGAGTTTTGCGTGTACATCCAGTTTAGCTGTTTATTTTTGTGTGCAGTTGGTTGTTCCATGCGGCAGATGAACTCCAACTTCAAAAGAAGTCCCCAGTTAGTCAGCTCCTACAACATGCTTGCTGGGAAGGCAGTAGGTCTATTCTTGTTTTCCCGACAATGGGGACCCGGAACCTACATGGGGAAAATAATAAGTGAATCAGTTAATCGCAGCTTCACTGCATATGGGCAATGTCTTCATTTCTCCATTCCTGTGCCAGTTAAAAACCTCACTGAATGCCCACCATAGACCCTTGTAAAATATTTAAACAGTCAGCTGTCTCAGTAGAGCCAGTAGCTTACATATGCATTAAACAATGTATATAATTTAATTAAACACACTTGAAGTGTATTCAATTTTTTTTTTTTTTTTTTTTTCCAGAGATGTGGTTTTACAGAAGAATGCTTAAAATACCTTGGGCAGCTAAAAAGAGCAGAGATTTTGAAAGAGGTGGGAGCCCGAAGACAACTTATCACAGACATCACAAGGAGACAGTCATCTTTTTTTGGCCATGTTATGAGAAGATGGAAAATGGAACATGCTGTGACCACTGGAAAGATCTGTGGAAGGAGGGATAGAGAAAGACAACGACAGAAGATTCTTGACAGTCTTGTTGCATGCCATGGAGGTGTGTCAGCACATAAACTGATATATGCTGCAGGAGAGCGCAGTCTGTAGAGAGGCATGATCGGCCATGCCAGTCGGCAAGGCACCTGATGATTATGATGATATAATTTATTTCAACAAACTGAAAATGTATTATATATTTAAGAGGAACAAACAATTGCACTTACTTGCCGTAGTTTATTGCACCGCTTGAGAGATCGTGAACATAAAATTGTTGAGAAGAAACAAATAACCATCACAAAAGCATCAAAGGCAATCAATTTTGCTGTCATAGCCTCCTGCTGACCTGTAATTGAATTAAATACAGCTCATTATCTTAGTTTGCTCACAACCAAATGGAGTTCACAGTATCATTATCTCATCATCATCATCAGTTTCCACTTCTGCTGTTAAGCATTGTGAGGAACAGTTTGTGAACCATTGCTAGATGGGCAGCAATGGCTACTGTTATTCTGTATCGATGTAGAAGCTCTTTAATGTCATCAGTCCATATTCTCCTAGGGCGGCCTCTTGCTTTCACTTCTGATCCTTTCATGTGTAGCGCCTGCAATTGATAGTTGTTTTGGCTGCATTTTTACTAAATGATAAAAACCATGTATTCTACTGTTTCTCAATGAATTTGCTGCATGGTGTTATTCCTACAGTCTGTCTGATAATAATAAATATCTGATAGTTAAAAGAATAAAAATGCTGTGTTTCCCCAAAAAGAAGACAATGTCTGTGTTATATTTTGCCTCAAAATCGCACCAGAGTTTATTTTTCAAGCAATGTCTTTTTTTTTTTTTAGAAACAAAAATCTACATTTTTTTCATTTAAAATTCTACATTTATTCAAATACAGTTATGTCATTGTCTTCTGGAATTATGAACGACATACATTTATTATCAAGTCTGCACAAGTAACATTTCTATTCTGACTGGACATTCAGCAGGAAGTCTCTAATTCTAGCTGAATGTTGAATGTTGAATTAAAAGTTGACAGTACAGCACTCAGGACACTTCCAATGGAGCTTTGTCCCCATCTTCAGCAGCGAGCGATGAGTTAAAGTTCAGATGACACCAGTAACTAGCTGATTGTATATCCATCTTGCCTTTCTCTTGAGTGTTCTAGCTGATAAGTAGCGGCTGGCCCAACGGTTAGAACGCTGGGCTATCATGCAGGAGACCTGGGTTCAAATCCTTGGTAAGGTTGGGTTTTTTTCTGTCGGGGGCAAAATAAAATCCTCACCTGCACAGTCGTGGTGACAGCACTAGCCATGCAGCCCCAAATCCTCAGGCTCAAAGACACACCCCCCACCCTCTCCCCCCCCCCCCATCCCCGGCAAAAGTGGCATATAAAGACAGTCATTGGCAGTTCTAGGTCTTTACTATTACGAGAGCTTATTTTTGGGGTCAGTCTTGATTTTGGGGAAACACAGTAGCAGCCTTGCTAAAGATATAACACTTAGGACTGAATGGGTACCCAAAAAAAAGATAATTGTATTGAATTGAAATTTGTTATAGAGAGCTCTCTTATGCCTAGAAACATTTACATATAGGTTAAAAGTAGGAAAAGACCCAATACTATGTCACTGAACCCCACCCAACCCTACCCCGAATGAAATTACAGTATGCAAACTACGAGTATTTATCCAACTGACTTATCGAGGTGATGACGTCATGCAGCGTCTGCAGGACGGACTGAAAACAGCAGTTGGTCAAACATTCTTTGCGGCTATTCCAGTCGTGAGGTACAAGACCACTTCTATCCCAACCCCACCTATTAAACAGCTCTTTTCTCAGTACACCAAATCAAACTATATACAAATTTACATGCAAGTGCCAGTTGACTTACATTGGTCGAACGAAGAGACATCTTTGAAATAGAATGGCAGAGCACATACCCAAATGGTGACATAATACACAGTTCAGTGATTCTTCAAGGGTGTCAAGACCAGTCAAGAGGAAAGAACCCACTTCTTCAATAGGACGTCATCTACTTAATTCTGGACACATAATTGACACAGACGGTGCTTTCCGTGTGGTTTACCACACTCCAAACAGGAGACTGTTGAGAATCGCGGATGCTTTAACAATTAAAATCAACAACCCCCTCCTTTGTAAGCAGACGAAATGTATACTAAATTTGAAGTAACCCTGGTAAGTCATGTCTTCTTCTTCTTCGCGTTCACCAGCTGTAAACTCTGGCGTAAAGTTCTGGTTGTTCATCCACTTCTTAACTGCAGTCCTGCTCCAGAACCTGAGTATTGCGTGTGCATCAGTATTACAGATCTGATTCAATTGAATGTAGACTGCTGGTTCCTTGCCTCTCAGGCAGATGCACTCCGACTTCAAAGGAAGCTCCCCAGTTAGTCGACTCTTACGACATGCTTTTGGGGAGGCAGTGGGTCTATTCTTGTTTTCCCCACAATAGGGCCCCGGAACCCACACGGGGGGAAGGGGGGGGGGTAAGTCATGTGACTACAGTGAGCTTCCGGCGGCCAAATAACACACACGATGTGTCAGAAGAAAATATTCACATATCTTATTATAAATATTCATATATCTAACTCTGTGGTAATGCACCTGATGAGATAGAGCAAAATATGCCTGAAAATAATTATGCCTGGCAATAAATATGCCTGGCAATAAATTGTGCAATACCCCCGTGTGGGTTCCGGGGCCCCATTGTGGGGAAAACAAGAATAGACCATATGCCTCCCCAAAAGCATGTCATAAGAGTCGACTAATTGGGGAGCTTCCTTTGAAGTCGGAGTGCATCTGCCGGAGAGGCAAGGAACCAACAGTCTGTATTCAAGAGAATGAGATCTGTAAAACTGATGCACACGCAATTCTCAGGTTCTGGAGCAGGACTGCAGTTCAGTATTGGACGAGCAATCAGAACTTTCCGCCAGAGTGTACAGCTGGTGAACGCAAAGAAGAAGAAGAAGAATTGTGCAATGTATTGTATGTGTTCGCATTATTTAAATTTTTTATGGGAAAACATTGTTTTGAATAAGATGGTCCTGTACAATAAATACTTCCCGTCCTTTTTAGGATGGAATTTTTCATTATTTGAAGCCCTACTCTGGCTCTTGCCAGGGGCCGCAATATAGCCTAGCCATAAATATGGCCTAATGGCTGAAAGCCGTTTCTGGGACCTCTCCACGGTGATCCTCATCCACATGGTGGCACATTGTGTCATTTGGTGCTTATCGCTTGTGGGATGTCCTGGTGGGGTAGAAAGTCAGTCAGTACTGTCCAATATTTTTTAAACACTACTCAGTACTGTGGGGGGGGGGGGGTGTAATGTGGTTAGTATCATAGCAACAACTTTAACTTCCTGGAGTGTTTTGTAACTGCTGCTTGCATCAATGGTGACCTGCAATTCTAGTGGTGGACTGTTTGAGTTGGCTGTTCTGCCAGCTGCTTAATGCATTTAATGCTTATGTATGCTGTTGGCTCTGCTGGGACTGCAGTCTGTTTCAACTGTTTTCATTAGGGCCAGTGCTAACACTTACCGAATCTATTTTTTTTAAATTGTCTTTAATCCATTGTGTTCCACACATACATTTAACATACAATTTATCTTTTTAATAATATTATCGCCTCATTTCCTTTACATCTGATACTGCTGAACATTTGGCTCAAGATACTACTCTAACACCTTTTATTCAAGACATGTATAATTTTACAACAATAGGTGTTAATATAAATTTCTGTAACCTATGGTGCCATTTCAATGGGTTGAAATGAATTCTGTCCGTATTCCATAGTCGTGGATTTCAAGCTGTACGATAGACATGGCCAATGAGACACCTTTTATTTTTGGGGGTGCCTAGTTGACCATGTATCTTAGTGCACTTGTATTCATGGCGAGGCGCAGACGCCGTCTGGAGGTGACAGGTTCAATTCCCGGCACGGTAACTATAGCTTTCAATTTTTATGTTGTCTAGTGTGTTCTTCTATCTTTCTACTTCTTTCTATGAGTGCCGTTCACAATACTTTCTGTTACTTGATTAATTCATAATATTTAACGGCCTCAAATGGTTCCCCCCTCTGTTTATTTATAAAGAGTTAAGCAAGGTTGGTCCAGTTGACTTTGTAAATGTGAAAAACTAATTTGCCTAAGGAGACTAACACAGAATTACCAGATCAGCAGACATGCACACTAACCACTGCACTGCCACAGCTTATATCTACACAGGAAGAACAATAACCCCTTCACCTCAAGAAAGCCTGTTTTTGGTGTATTTCACTTGTGTTTGAAAAAGGCTGCCCGGCCGAAACGTAGTTGTGTTGTTTTGTGCACGTTTTCCTCTTTCCTATTTTGTTGAGCTTTTTAGTCAAATTTCTCTGGAATTCACTGTTTTTGTTTTGTTTTCTTTTAAATGTATATTTAAAAAAAAAAAGAAACTTTTATGTGATCTGATAAAATGAGGTTTTCAGGCAGTGACTATTAGGCCAAACAGCAGCTTTGGTATATGTTGAAACTGCATAGTATGTAGACATGGCGGATATGATTATATTTACTATAAATTATTTTTTAAAGATATTGCTTAGGGTTTAGACAAAAAAGAAAATGATTTTGTGTGTGTTAGTCATTGTAACATCATAATAAACTCATGATGATGTCACTTTGCTTTCTGTGGGGCTGTGTCAACAAAACCCTATTTTGAAGAATGGGTAGGAATGCTGTTAATTTACCTTTTGTGTTTTTGCGTTGTTTATATTCAAGGATTAAAACAAAATGACCATTACAAAAAATAATGACTCTAAAAATAAAAAAAACTATTGTTTTAGTGACTTGGGGGCTGTTTATATTCAAGTATTACAACAAAATGACCATTACAAAAAAATAATGACTCTAAACATTAAAAATCTATTGTTCTAGTGACTTGCGAGCTGTGATGATGTGATAGCTAGCAGGCATGACTGTATTCTCAGCGGTCATAGCTTTAAAAATTCTTAGATTTTTAAAAATAAAATGTGACCAAGATTCAAAATCTCTTCTGCTTCTTCTTCTCTTCTTCTAGTTTGTTAGGATGGAGTTTGAGAGAATTATAACAATTCACTTCTACTTAACAACATTTTTAAAAAGATCACTTTAAAAAAACTCAGAAGCGTTTAAAAGAGTTCTTACTTTCAGCTTCTTCTGACATAATCTTTCCAGCACATTCAATCTCTGTTGGTTCAGTGTCAAGGTCAATCAGAAGCTGGCCACTGCGCTCACTGTTTGTGTACACCACCTGTGTAATAAAAAAAAAAAAGATGCATTTTTGTCATGATGTCATGTAATCAGGATTAATAGATAAAATATTCTACATTAAAATTATTTTAATCCCAATGTGTGTTCTGGCCTCCATTTTGCTGGGAAGTGGGAGTGGGGGGAGGGTGGGGGGTGGGGTATAGACCAACTGCCTCTTGACAACCATGTTGTGACTAATTAACGGTATATCCTTTGAAGTCTGAGTGCATCTGATCGAGAATGAGAAACCAACAGTCTGCATACAAATGAGCCAGATCTGTAACATAAATGTGCATGCAAAACTCCAGTTCTGGAATACAGCTAAAATCCAGAAGTGGACAAACAGTGAGAACTTTCCACCAGAGTTTACATTAATTGAATGCTAATTATAATAATAATAATAAGAAGAAGAAGAAGAGGAAGAAGAAGTAGAAGAAGAGTTTTTTTTTTTAATAGGGTTTTTAAAAATGTTCCCACTCTGGGATTGCAACCTAAAATGTTTATACTGGGTTATTTAAAAACCACTTTATGGACACTAATCCAACACAAGCAAATGCCAGACACCCCATTTAAATGTTTAAAAAGCATATTTGATATTTATATTTAGAAAAATATGAACACATGTTAGTACTCACACTGATGGAGACATTGTAACATGTTGGCCCATAATGTGTCTCTACTAGGTTTAGATGAAATGTTCGCAGATAAAAGGACAAAGTTATGTCCAGTGTTCTGGGGGAAAATAATTACCCTAAATTAATAACAAAGTATAAAATATGGATAATTACCTTTACCCTGCATCTCAGTTACATTCTTTTAGTATAAAGTGATTGTGTTTATAAATGAGTCAAGCTGTGGGAAAGCTTCTAAAGATTACAACAATTATAAAACATGAAGTACATGTATAGGTAAGTGATACAATTAGCTTGACACACTTATCAACTCTGTGTTTAGTGTTGAGCTGATATTATAGCACTCTGAACATTCCCGTAAGCACTCAGTCCTCACTTTCAGCAGCCAGCAAAGAGCTACAATTCTAATAGTACCAGCAAAGTTTGATTATATATCTCTATTTTCTTTCCTCTCAGTGTAAAGCATTGACCACATGCCGTGGTAACTCATAGCTATCCCATTCTCTCCAGATCATAATGATCCATTCATGCCTCTTCATTATCCACTTGCTGCCAAAGGACCTTGACCCCATCTAGCTTGTCATGCATAAATTCACCACCCGTTGGTGCAGAACCAGCCTATCCATCTGTTTACTCCTGCATTCCCCAGAAAAAAAATATCCAAAGAACGCCAACTACACAGGACTTCTGAAGATATGCCTACCATGCTGTATTGAGCACACCCATCTTCACTTTTCTCAACATGCTTTGTGAGTTGGTTACAATCAAGACATTTAGCCCCCAAGTCAGAGAAAAGCTGCTGTGACCACCCCAACCCTCAAAACAGATGCCATAGTATCATACGCCAAACTTTGATGCACCAAGCGCTGTCATGATGAACTTCCATGCACATCCTTCACCCACCCTTCCCCCTCAAAACACAATGCCATCCACCACCGACAACCAGATCACCTGCTGGCTCACCGGTGGACGACTTTGTTGCCGGTCGAGACAGTATTTGGTCTGTCTCCTTTGATCACATCAACACTGTAGGAGTCCTTTTCAGGGCTCTTTGTGGCATGCAGTGCTAAGCTATTGTATATGGCGAACATACATAGCCACAATTATAACCCAAACCTTTGGTGATGTTGGTTGAACGTGACGATTTTTTATTTTTTATTCCAGCAAAGCATCTACCTACCTAAGCCATCAACATAAACAATCACATCACCTTGGTTGGAATTATTACAAATCAACTGCTGAACTCCTGATTCTGCAGCGCCAGATGGTCATTCCCTGAACTCCTGGCCAGGTGTGATTGGAACTACACACATGTATGTTTATTGCTCTGACACCAGCTACCAACCTCACTCATCTGTCCCCCCCCCCCCTTTTTTTTTCCCCCAAATTTGTTCCAGCATACATACATTTGTAACTGTATCTTCTGCTTGAACCATCAAAGACTTTCCTACAGTCAGCCTGTGACCCTTAGTTGTATCCAGGGTGTAATTATTATCAGTTATATAATAATATAATTAAAAACTGTATACTTACATAAATATTAACTTTACATTACACTACCCATTCTTATGACCTTGTAACATTTATACTAATATTTTTAGACCAGCTGTCTGATTCAGGTCATAGACTACAACCATCTTAAGTGTTGGGGCCTAGCTAATAACATGGCAACATTTTTGTTAGTGCATATTTTTGCATGTTTTCTTAGTTTCATAGTATTGAAAAAAATGGAAGATTCCCCCCCCCCCCCCCCCAACCCCCCTTTCCCCAAAACCCCCTTTTTTTTAAAAATGATAGTTGATGAATGAAGAACGCTGCTGATAACTGATTTTGGAATGTAAGAAATATTGCCAAGGCTGCTACGAGACAAATGAGTAACATTGCAACAGTCAATAGCATCAGACTACAGACATTTAAAATGTTCTCTAATACACAGAATTCAACTGGTTTATTGATAAGAAGCTGGTTTGTTGTTTTCTTTCCCATTAATTCATCGTGCTATTGCACTCCTTTATGTTAAATATGGCTCATCACTGAATACTCAGTTTTGTTCTATCCTTTGAGATTTTTAAATTATTGTATATGGAATCTGGTAAGGCCCTTCCAGCCTCTCTTATTAACATTCACTGTACGATCTGTCTTGGGTGTTCTTGTCTGCTCAGTTAATTTATTCCTTATTTCAGTGCTTTTTTTGTGTGTGATGCTTGTCTGCTTTGTCTCCAGATATGCCCAATTCAAATAAACACATAAATGCACATTTTTAAATAGCCAGATATATTTGTGAGTTAGCAGTTTTAGTGTGATGAGTGATTTGTGGGGTGCAGGAGCTGGACCTGTCCCCTACCCTCCTTGTTTCTTGTCTGGGCTTATGACAGGTAGTGCCTGGAGATATCTGCCATTCTGTCTGTAGAATATTATGCATTTCTCTCAATGTAAGAAAACAGCTGGCCGATCAATTAGAACGCTGGGCTCTCCATGACCCCCTTTCCAGCACTAACCTAAAATATGCAGTAAAGACAGTTTTGTTTTTTAAATTGTAATGTAACAACTTCATCTGGTGTAATAGAACTATATCAGAGGCATGTATCTTACCTGTTGAAAGGTAAAGTAAAATTGTGCTTGTTCAAATATGTTTGGACATCATATGCTTTGATATCTCCGTGGTCTACTGGATGAATGTCTGTACAATCTAAAAACAAAAATTTTAGAAAAAGTGTTTTTTTTACATTTCTATTTGTTGCTGTAAACATAACAAAATTAAATGGTTTACTGTAATTAATTTCCCAGCAATATTAGTGTATTAGGAGTAGTATTAGTGAGAGAGAGAGAGAGAGAGAGAGAGACAGAGAGAGACAGAGAGAGAGAGACAGAACATCTATTAAAGTACATCGATAAGTTCTCAGTCATGCACAGGTGTTTCAAAATTTGAAATCATAGATGGTGAAAGTGAAAAAGTAAATAGCGTTATTGGGTATATAAGGTGATAGATGTAAATTTTTATGAGTGGTCTGGTCTGGTAGTCCTAGTTTCAGCTTCATAGCAAAAGGATCACCCCATCTTTGCTCCGCTCCCGTGCCAACAAAAAACACACAGAATGTTTATCACAGTCCCTTGTGGAAGGATTGACAAACTGCTGTCTCAGCATATCTAGCATACACTCACATTAAAGCATATGGTAGCCATCAGAAGTGCTAACACAAACAGTCCGACATTGGAAATGCAGTTCATCATTGATGGTAGCAGAAGTCACCAACAGATCTGCAGTTGCCAACGCGATCAATTTTAATCACTGTCGCATGACAGTATACACACATCTACCGCCTTGGGCAGGTCCACAGTCTGAACACCCCCAGAATCGTTATTGTAACTATGATATACGATCGGCCAACCGTAGTTATCTAGTTCGTTTGTTGTGGGGGGGGGGGGGGGGGGGGGGTCCAGATAAGAAAAATCCCTATAAATCACTATGATATTGACTCTTTTAGGCTTTTAGTGTCGATTTACAGGTTAGGACACATTTTCTACGCCTATTTAAAATAAATTGTCTGGCCATTGCACTGCATACATGAGCAGGATTCTTACGCCAACTGCTGTAGTTGGGGAACGTATTTGTATGCGTCACTTCTCTATGGTCCGGTCTATGAGGCAGACGCTTTCCTGTTGTGTTGCCACTTGACCGTTAAAAAGACAAGATTCTTTATTCTCTTTTCATTTATCATGGGTGAGTTTTCATAAGGGTTTTTAATTGAATATTTGTGCTCAGAGTGTCTGTGGTGTGGGTAAGTAAGGTCAGGAGATTGATAATGCGAATCTGGTTGTCTACGATCCTTGCAATGGAGGACGGCGAATGGAGCTCCAAATTGGAATGCACTTTCGACTGAAAATTCTCGGAGAATTCTTCGAACCGGCCTTCTAAACCTCTTCGGATCAAACAATCCACATATCTGGAGTGTATTTATGGTAGTGTTAACTTTGTATGATTAGTTGTTTGCTGTTATTCGGTCTCTGAACTTGGTGAGTCACTGAACCATTATGAATGACAAGGAGCTTCGGGGCATACATGACGTCATATCCGCTGTTGCTAGGAGCTTCGTAACCACAACAAGCTTAGACTGTCGTACTACTTTCGGAGCATATTTCCTTCGATCTTAGTTTTGATTTCATCTCCTATACCTTATCTTTCCAATTAGTGAAAAAGGTATATTAAAAGGGATGGGAAATAATGGAGATCTGTCTGGCTTTCGCTACAGGACTGAATTCAGAAACTATTCGAGTTGATGATCTGGTGCTCACTCTGGTAAACTGAATGGATTCCAAGATAGAGGTAACCAACTTTCATGGTTGGGACTAACCTCAAGTATATCTGAGCATGAGGAAGTGGTAAAGACATTGATTGACTAGGTGCGTTGGGTGCGGTTCGCTCATGGGTGTTGCTTTGTGTTTTTCAGGATTTCTGAAGATCCAACGAGCGTCTGTGGTCTAACCGAGTGCTTCCACCTAGCACCACCCAAGAAGCTATTGACGTGGGGTGGATTGCTGTTGCTGAGTGTGCAGACGGTACTAGAGTCGACATCTTCCGATCTCGAGTTGATCGTCCTTGATCTATTACAGAAGCCACATCGTTCTTGTGTAGTCGTTCTACGAAGAGAAGTGGTCTGAAATTCCATTCCGGCATCCTGAGGAGCTACAAGATCTAAACAGATAAGTCAAAGTGACATTCAGAGGCAGCTTGATTCCAAATGGGCCTTTGCAATCTATCCTACACCTCAGCTGTGATGATACCGGAAAGAGACGTAGATTAGGAGGAAGACTCATTCTCTAGCATTGTTCTTTAAAGAATTCAGTATTCTTTCAACGGGTAAGACCCCAGTCTACTCTAGCAAAACAAGGTGCTGAAGTCGGAGGCAACCAGCCAGGAGGCGCACCACAGCAATCAGGATGCCACGCACAAACGCAACAGGGAGTATTTCTATATCTGCAAATAAGTTTGATTTCCACCATGTGACCCACTCACGTACACGTGGTTCGATTTACCGGCCTACGACAAGAAGAAAGAGTCCAGCTTCAAATACTCGAAGCCTCCCCCTAATGCCCCGTAGAGCCAGAAAAGCAGAAAATACAGCTAGCCTTAAAATAATGCACTGGAACGCGGAGGGAGTAAATACTAAGAAATTAGAATTAGAAAACGTCTTGAACGAAGAGAATGTACATGTATGCTGCCTACAAGAGACGTATCTCAAGCAAGATATGGCCTTTAAGATCAGAGGCTACCAGTGTTTTCGATCTGACCGCAAAGACAGGAGAAAAGGTGGAATTCTTACCCTGGTAAAAAATAACATCCTTGCGGGCCAGATCGAAACATACATGGAAGGTGCTGAGTATCAAACTCTTGAGCTCAAGTTAGAAAATACAGATTTACATCTGACCAACTATTACTGTCCGAGCGACCGCCCTCAGGCACTGGATACAGTACTAATAAATGGAAAAATGATCATTTGTGGGGATTTTAATAGCCATTCCCAAAGTTGGGGCTATGATCATATGGACCAGAGAGGAGAGAAACTAGAGGACTGGCAGGATGAGAATAGGTTCATCCTCGTTAATAAGCCAACCGACCCACCAACCTTCTACTCTAGAGCATGGCATACCACCTCGACACCAGACCTAGCCTTTCACTCAGCAAACATGGAACTGAATATTACCAGAACTGTTGGGAAGCAACTAGGAGGCAGTGACCACCGGCCAGTCTTTCTAACTATCGAAAGCCAGTCTGTAAGAGAGAGCAGCACACTGCCAAGGTGGAATTTTAAGAAGGCAGACTGGAAGTTATATCAGCTTCGCACAAATGTTCTGCTGGAAAATCTGAACACAGACAACGACGTGGAAAAAGTAGTCCAAGAGTTGAGCAAACACATACTGCAGGCAGCCCTAGAAGCAGTTCCAAGAGGTGCGCGTAAACAATACAAACCGTACTGGAATTGCGATCTGGAGCAACTGCACAACAATATGGAAACAGAAAGAAAACAAGCTGAGACCAGACCTTGTCAAGAGCAGTTTAACAACTACCAACATTCAAAGGCCAAATTTCAAAGAGCCAAACTGCAGGCTAGACGGAGAAGCTGGCAGGAAAAGACAAAGTCTCTAAACTTTGAAAGAGACACAAGGAAGTTGTGGAGGTTAATTAAGCAAATTAATGTTGAGAATACAGGAAGAAATGGTAATATTGCACTATGCAAAGAGGGAGCCATCCTAACAAGAAAACAGGCAGCTGACCACTTTGCAGATTCCTTTACAGAAGACAGCAACATTAATGTCAGCCCAGAGAAACAGCGAGAGGTTCAAGAAAACAAACAACATACAAGACAAAAAGATATAATTCCTGAGGCATTGGTGGCAGCATTTACATCCAGCGAGTTAGAATTAGCAATATCAAAGCTGAGAATGGGAAAATCACCTGGAACTGATGGAATCACCAACGAAATTATCAAGAACCTTGGAGCAACTGCCAAAATAAAGCTGCTACAGATCTTTAATCATTGTTGGACAAGTGGCAAAGTTCCTCAAATATGGAGAGAAGCAATCACAATACCTCTGCTTAAACCAGGAAAGGACAGTTCTGATGCCTCCAGCTATAGACCGATCAGTCTTACCAGCTGCCTCTGTAAAACAATGGAACGTATTGTCAACCTTAGACTCCAATGGTACTTGGAAAGTGAAAAACATTTTCACGCCGCAGCAGGCAGGATTTAGACAGTGCTACTCCACAGAAGACCAGACAACTTACCTTTCACAAGAAATTGAGGATGCCTTCCAGGAAAAGAAGCTAGTGCTAACGGCATGGATAGATCTGAAGAAAGCCTTTGACAAGGTCTGGAAAGAAGGTCTACTGAAGAAACTGAGAGACTGCAGGGTGAATGGGAGTATGTACAAATGGGTGAAAGCATACTTGTATATACAGAAGATCCCGAGTACAGATAGATGGACTTGAGAGTAAGAAAGTTTTTGCTGCACCATGGCGTCCCCACAAGGAGGTGTCCTGTCCCCCACACTCTTCCTAGTCTATATCAACGACCTGCTTTCTGAACTACCCCATGGAATTAAAGCTGCAATGTATGCTGATGACTTGGTACTCTGGTGTACAAATGAAAATGCGACAGTGGCCACCAGACTGCTACAAAGAGCCATAGATGCAATGGCTGATTGGGCCGACAAATGGTGTGTCAGCATCAACATAGGCAAATGCAGCACCACCCTCTTTACCCTTTCTCCTAAACAAAAATCAGGCGTCATACACATAATGGAGTACCCCTGAGAGAGGATAAGGAGCCCACATACCTCGGAGTAACGTTTGATGATAGATTAACATGGAGAAAACACATCAACAAGGCAGCAACCAAAGCCAGAAGGAGGGTAGCCATTCTGAGAAAACTAAGTGGAACCACATGGGGTGCTAGCGGGAAAATACTTAGAAAAGTTTACCAACAAAGTGTTCGACCACATCTTGAATACGGATCAACAGCATGGAGTTCGGCATCAAAAACCACATTGCAAGAATTAATAGACAAAGTGCAAAATCAAGCACTCAGAGTTACCACAGGCAGTATGAAATCAACACCTATAGCTGTGATGGAGAAAATGGGATGACCCCAGCACTGAGTGAACGCAGAGACACCAAGATGCTTTTACAAGCAGAAAAGTTTCTTAGTATGCCCAGTCACCCTATGAATGAAAGATTCAAAAATTTAGCTTTGGGACGACTAAAGAGAAGTAGTTTTATCCACCAGGCCAAACAGCTCGGCAGACAAACCACTGATTTACCTGCAACTGATAGATCCTTAAATGCTGTCCCAGAACGGACCCCCTGGAGAGAGGAGTATAAGTTTCCAATACACATCAAGACTGAAGTGAAAGGGGTATTTGACATGGAAGAACAAAACAGTGTGCAGCGCAAAACAGCCACCCTCAGTCTACTTGATGATGAATACCCGCAGAACCTTTGGGTCCGTGTTTACACAGATGGGTCAGCAGAAAGTGCAGTCAGAAACGGAGGTGCAGGAGTGTACATTGAGTATCCTAATAATACCAGGGATACAGCCAAATTACCAACAGGAAAGCACTGTCACAACTATGATGCAGAAGTTCAAGCCATCAAGATAGCGGTAGAGAAACTACTAAATACAGGGTATTTCTCACAACCAGTGGTATTCCTGACAGATGCAAAAGCAGTACTTCAGTCACTCCAGTCTGGAAAATTACCAAGCATACAGACACTATTATCCGAACTAGGCAACCGCTGTAAATTAGTAATGCAGTGGATACCTTCCCACTGTGGAGTTTCCCGGAAACGAAAAAGCTGATAAACTAGCTAAGGAAGGTGCAACTGAAGAACAACCTTGACATACCAGTCTCTTATCAACAGAAGAAGAGAAATGATCAATCAATCAGAATGCCACCGAAACTGGCACAAGATGATTACCATATTATGGACAGACCAGAGCAAGTCATTATCCTTCGCCTAGAACAGGGCACAATCGACTTCGCTCCCACATGTACAACAAATTTAAGATTGGCCAATCAGCCATGTGTACTTGTGGACTGGCACCCGAAACAACAGATCACATCCTTCAAGACTGTCCCAGATTCAACGCTTTCAGGCAAAACCTTTGGCCAAAAGAGACACTTGTGGAAGTCAAACTTTACGGGCCGCTTAGTGAATTACAAAAGACAGTGAAATTCATACTAGAGACGGCTTTGCAGATATAGACAATTTATTTCATGCGAACGAAAGAAGAAGAAGAAGAAGTATTCTTTCAGTTGATTCTTCAGGTTATTTTTCGTCAGCTTTGTTATAGTGAACTTATTACATTGAATTTTGAGTTCATCAGCCTTCTGGTTCTTAGGAAAGTTTTGTCTTATTGGAATTCATTGAAATATTCAGCAAGGTAGTCCTTACTATATAGTGATATATCTTCTTCTTCTTATTTTATAAGAAGCCAAAAAAAAGGGTTATCAGTAAATATAAAAAGAATGAAGCAATAAATGGAATACATTCCAGACGACCTAAAAAACTATATGTATTGAGTGACATATGCCCTGACCCCGAGATCTCTAATACTAAGGCTTGCAGGAAAATCTGACATCACAATATGGCTTTTAAAAAGCCATTAGGGTAATAAGAAACCATTCTAAATTCAATTTTAAGTTACTATATTCATATAATGGCATATTTAACACTGTGCAGGTGCACACAGAATTAATGAAATTTAACTACACTTTTCAATAACAGGTAATTGCAGACATGGCAATATATCGGCATCCACAGGACTGTGTCACAACGGGAAGTGACTAGTCTTAGTCTTCTCGGTGTGACTGCTAAAATCAAAGTCTTGTCAACCAGCATAGGACTGGCACTATTAACTGCACAGCGCTGATAAATATGTTAAAGGGGGAGTCATGGCACCTATGTATGTATCCAGAGTGCTGTAAAGATAACCCAACTCATAACAGGGCTAAAATCAACACAAAATGGTCTGCTACCAAATTGCCTGGAGGTAATTACAAAGCCTAATATGTTGGGATTGTGAAACTACATTCATGACCTCTAAGCCACAGATGCTGATATCAGATACAGTAGAAAATAACTGCAGCCTGTTGATATACTCACTATGTAAAACTGTTGCTGATACAATGTAGCTACCATTAGGATACTCTATAAAATCATTTGCATTGAAGCAGAGTCTTATTGGGTAGGCATGTCCTGTCTCATTGTCCTTGTTGTGATGGATGGATGCTAATGACCAGTCAGGAATTTTGTAATACTGAAGATGATAGAAACATTAACAAATATTAGATACACCCACATTTTACTCCGGGTCATCAAGGAAAAACACAAGAATGGTAACATTGTTAAGTTACCCTACATGATATAAAAGGTAACTAAAGAGAGTTGGAATGAATGAATGAATGAATGAATGAATGAATAAATGAATGAATGAATGAATGAATGAATGAATGAATGAATGAATGAATGAATGAATGAATGAATGAATGAATGAATGAATGAATGAATGAATGAATGAATGAATGAATGAATGAATGAAGCAAGAATTGACATCACTACACTTGGAACATTCCTGGTGTGCTCTGTCCCTTTATTCAATAGCCAATGAAGAGCTGACATGCTTATAATGCCAATTGCAACCTGATTTAAAGTTTGCCTGTTTCCCCTTCAGTGTTAAATATATATTCCAGAACCTCTACTCACCCCCCATTGAATTAGTCTTTCATTGTATGTGGCACCCCTTTCCAGGCATCCTTGGTCCAAAGTAAATACCACTCTATGCAAGTTTGTTTTGTTGGGTAACACTGTGATCCTTTCCTCACCATATGCTATTTTGTCAGTTGTTCAAACATTTCTAATAGTGACTTCTGCTTGTACATCCAAGGGCTACCTCTTACAGCCTTTGTCCCTTGCTATCCACTAAAGCCTCATGCAGAAGGTGTTGTGACTTGAAGGTACATTTCTGCCTGTAAAACCGTGCATCTTTCACACACAGATGGCAATGCAAGAATGGGCTGCATGCACACAATTGGTGTGTCCTGTGTAAATTCTAAAATGACTCACATGGCTTCATATGCATGTCTTCCAGATTCTCTGTTTTAGGTTTGAGATATGTTAACAGTCCTAAACCATACTCTATCCACGAAATAATCAGTGGCTGGTAGCATTATATATATCATTTTCTGTTCCATAGCCGTTGATGCCATCACCTTTAAAGCATTGAGTCCTTCCCTATCTTCATAATCATCTCTACTATATGGGGCATGAAAGACAAGCTACAGTCAAATGTGATTCCTAGATGTTTTAGTGAGAGTTGAATAAGGCTGTCTACTTCATCCCATAAAGAACTGTAGCAGCAAAATGAAAAACCATTACCAACATTAGAAATGACCTGGTGTTAGTTGGTGAAAGCCTTTCCTCCACTAGGAGTTGAAAGGCAGAGGAAGAAGAAACATTTGAAATACTCTAAGGCACATAGGTGATTTTAAATCCCAGAATTTATGGTGTACAAGATGCCCTGATGTACATGTCAATCTCAGTATTTTTAATAGGCAGTTCTGGATTAGGCCTATATCTGACTAATGAATTTTATAGCGGCCATGTAAGTTGACCCCCAGTTTTGGAATTTTTTTTTTTTTTTAGGTTAGAAAATGTGAACTGAAAAATACAATTTACTGTAGTTGTTATTTTATAATTATGAACACACATAATGTGTTGTTTCGGGGATTTTGTGCTGATTATCCTTTTGTTGTCTGTGATGAAATAACTATAGTAGCTATTAAATCAAATTTGTGATCACAGTGGAGATCACCTGCTAGTGGATTTCATCTTATATATAAACCATAGTTTGTCATTCACTTGGGGAGGGGTTGCATCTGGGCTTAGAAATATTGGTTGTCAGGAGATGACTATAAGGCTACCCTTGAATTATTACCCAAAACCAACCCCACCCCTCCAACTCCCCCCCCCCCCCCCCCCCCCCCCCCCCCACCCCCACACAAATACATAAGTGGAAAATTTACATTTAAATTGTCTTCTTTTTCTTTGTTCACCGGCACATCATGTTGGACTTAACTTTTCGTCATACCTGTGACAGAAATCACAAATTTAAATTGTGTAATGGGTTTTACTTTTTTGGACACTGTCAGTGCCCACTAACTATTGGGTAGGCTGACACCCTTGACACTCTTTTGTAACACTTTGAAAATAAAGTTTGTTCGTTTGTTCGTTCTGTCTGGTACCCATTTTAATAAGGTTTGGTTGATCTCTGTCTATATAAGTTCAGAGAGTAAGTAGTGTTCAACCTCACCAGGACTGCACAACGAAGGAAAAACTACCAGTGACACAAGGTGTCACAATTCAGATGAGAATCACCTGGGCACAAGTCCCAGAAATCCCGTTCAATTCTTAGGTTATATTAGGACCCCCTACAACAATAAAATTGCTTCCCATTTTGGGGCCATTTTTAAACTGATTATATGTTCACTGATTAAGAATAAACTTGATAGCAATATTTATTATTATTATTTTTACATGAAGAAACGATAAACAACGTTAGCAAAAAAAAAAACAGTAACATAAATTTGGGGAAAAAAATTCTTACCCGTTCCATGACAGCATTCATATGATCAAACAAATCTGACAAATTGTATACAGCATACTGCCCAGCTGCTGGAGGGTATGGCAGAGTTTCATATGCAACATTCCAATCTTTCAGAAGTAGATGGCGGTATGTGAGATCACTGCGTTCAAAATACTCCAGAGTGTTCTCTCTCTGAGCTCCAAATATCACAATCTGAATTCCAGAAAAATATTATGTATTGATTAATCCACTTCTATAAACATATTCCAGCTTTCACATGACAATAATTTGTTTGTCTCCCCCCCCCCTCCCCACCCGACCCCCTAATTATTTAAATCTATGGTTCTTATTACATTTTCTGCCCCAAACAGAGCACAGCTGGTCTTTCATTCAGGCTTCCTGACCATTCATATGTGCTAGTCTATGTTACAGGGGTGTCAGGTAGTGTTGTCTTTGATGCTTTCACCAGCGATCACCTGTGTACTATATTACACAATGTGACCGCTTTAAAAGATCCCAGAACATCCAGAACTGGCCCTAACCCCAACCCCCCTACCCCACAGCCTCAGCCTACATACCACGAGAAAGTCCACACTACGTCCTATGGTTTCTGAATTGTTCACATTTTCTGGTGCACCCAAAAACACAACTTGCTGCAAAAAACCAACAGTGTTCTCCTTGTCGCTAGTCAACGCTGATGGCTAAATTCATGTCAGACTGAACTCCATAATGTCGTCACCTGCTCACAACAGCGAGTAAAACACAATATCTAGCTCGCCACCCACATGATGCACAATATAGAAAGCCCTTCGTGAAGACAACAAAACCTGACACCCCTCTGACATAAACCAGCGCATGTTAAATTTCAGGAAGCATGAATGAAAGGTCAATTAATCTCTGTTTGGGGCAGAAAATGTAAAAAGTTCTTAATCTATAAGAGGGCCACACACTTCCTAGAAGTTCTGCTGTGGAAGTTCTGCTGTGGAAGTTCTGCTGGGGAAGTTCTGCTATGGAAGTTCTGCTGTGGAAGTTCTGCTGTTGAAGTTCTGCTGTGGAAGTTCTGCTGTGGAAGTTCTGCTGTGGAAGTTCTGTTGTGGAAGTTCTGCTTTTAAGTTTTTGCCTATACGTGTAATTTTTTTATTTTCAAAATATTATTATTCTTACTTACCATTCAGCACATTATTTTTTTTATTATTGTTACTAAACACCTGAAGGTTCCTTGAACATCACCCTAAGCCCACCCTAATAAAATGTGTAAGGGGGCTATTTAGGGTCCCTCGCTATCCCCACTTTATTGAATGTTTCTTTGTGTAAGTGCCCCTGTATTCCAATTCCAATTCCTTTTGAGAAAGAAAAATGAAAAGCTCGACCAGGTTCTGACTGCTGCTAGCTAGCCGAGGTTCTGACTGCTGCTAGCTAGCCGAGGCTGCTAGCAGTCTCCGCCTACATTTGTGGTCTGGGTTATTTGCGTCACTTTCGTGACTGAATTCCAGTGTTTGTCCCATTTCTGGGCTTGATGCGTGCCCCTGTGTGAAACCTAATAGAATATATTGTTTTAATTATGCAACAATCCTCAGTGAATACAATTTTAAAATATGCAAGTTGCAACAACCATAATAAATAACACACTTTCATAGTTTTACTTTTTGGGCCATTATTTAAAAAAAAAAAATCGTATTTAAAATTATAAATATCAATCTTGCCTGAACTGTGATGACAACAAGTTTCACAATCTGTAACGACAGTTTCCATGGAAACCCGTGCAGATTTGTGAGTTTAGTGATTGGATCTAGAAAAAATAGTCTGTTTCTTTTCCTCAGCTCATCAACCATTGAAGGTGTGTAGTAAGATTTTTGTCTGTTCATTGTTGCAGGTCTGGGGAGAAAACAACAACTGCAAAGTAGATATAAATTAACAAAAATATAGAAGGAGAAAAAGTATATGCATGTATACCCAAAGATACATTGAACACACAGACATACAAAAACATTGACATATAGACAAAGATACCTGCAGATATGATGGCCTGTGTAAATATAAATAACTCCAAATTATATTTATTTGAAAGCAGGTTACATAACTGTATTTTGAAAGCAAGTTACATAACTGTAACAGAAAGTCTAAACATGGGTCTTAGTTTGAAAAGCAAAAAACGAACCCTCTGAAATGTGACATCAAAGTAAACAGAACAATCCTCAAGCAAGTTGTTACTTGGGTAACCTGATAACAGCATATGGAAAATGTATTTAAGAAATTAAAGGAAGAACAGCTCAAGCAAATGCAGCATTTCACAAAATGACAAAAATTCCATGCAATCTTTCATTGCCAATTGAGCTGAGAAAGAGAATTCTTCAAATCTCTATAAATTCTATCCTGAAATGCGGGAGTGAACCAAGGACAGTTGGTAAACTACGTAAAGATTTTTGTGGAAGCCATTATGATGTGGTTTTCATAGATGAATGATAAGAATACCCTGGACAGATACAAAGATTAGTGAAGATGTCTTGAAAGCAACTAACTCACAAAGGGAACTAACTGATTACCCACACAAGAAAGAGACAATCTACATTTTTTAAAATTTATGTTATGAGAAGGGGAAAACTGGAGTACATCGTGACAGTAGGAAGGTTGGAGGGTAAAAGAGGAAGAGGGAGACTGAGAGGGAAGACGCTGGACCATTTGACTTCATGACATGGGACATCCCTTGTATCAGAGCTGATTGAAAGTACACGAGACCGAAGGCTGTAGATAAACAAAACATGATTAACAAAGCCGCAAAGCAAAGGCTTTGAGAAGAAAAAGAAGAAAAAAAAAAAGCCATGTTATGTACTTTTTTATTCTAATGTTATTTCATTTTCAAGATATGCCAGCACAAGTAGGTGAACCACTTAAGAAATGCAACAAACGTTTAATGCATTAAAAGCATGTATTGAACTCTCAACGGAATAAAGCCAGGATAGGAGAAGAAATAAAAGAAAAACATTTTCTGGACAACCGCTGTTATCATCAGTTATAAGATAAACACAATGACTACATAGCACATTGTGAGGAGAAGTGGTCAGAGCATCGTTAGACAGGTGCTGAAAAGGGAAACAAATGAACTGAGGAGACAAGAATGCCCAGGGAATACCCATACCAACTTTGAAGATAATTAATAACTCTCATAGACACAATCAACTAGGCCTTTATCATGAGAGCGGACTGGTCGCTCACCGAGAGATATAAGATAATCCAAAGGATTAACTTCACAATATTGTAAATGTAATGAACTCATAGATCATAATTCGAAAAACAGAGACCACTATCCTATGCGACAAATGGCTCATATCGCTTAACAAGATTCAGATAAGGAGCCTATAATTTTCTGCCCAGGATATACTGGTGTGCTGGGTAATGAACAAGCTGATGGATTGGTTGCTGTGGCCCCTCTGAGCGGTGATAGAGTGGACGCGGTGAAGGCTCTCTGGGATCCAGTGGACAGTCCAACGGAATAGAGTATAGGCACGGCCCTCTCTATTTATATACAGAAGGACCTGAGTATAGAAACCTCGAAAGACTGGTCCAGCAAAGAGTAGGCTCAGGGTTTGGATGGTTTTCAGCGATCAGAGAAAAAGACAGGCGAACTTTTTATCAGACTGCAGCTAGCACGATCGTTAAGTCAAAGTCGGGAGGGTTTTAACCGATATAGCTCGATCTCTCTCCACAGAACAGCTAGCCGCCTGCCGAAAGCGTCACACAAAGCACAATCTCTGTAGCTCCAGCGACGATCACCAAGGATCGCTGTAAAAACTGCATTCGTGAACTGAACGGTGCAGCCGTGAAATCAACCCACCACCTTCAGAGCGCGAGGCAAACGACCACTTAGCCACGTAGACCCACCTAGCACCATCGTTGTGGAAGCTGCTCGTTGGCTTATGAGGAAGAGTACGGAGAACGTCGGGAATATCACAGCCTTCTTTAGAGCTGGAGCCCGGCTGTGGGGACTACCTGGTGTGCGGTGACGTCAATTCATGCATACACAAACTTCGTAGCCTATAGGGAACTCAGACACTTTGAGTAGAGAATATGCTAATGGCTAAGTCCTTGAACCCTCCTCCCCTATCTATAGACGCTCTATGATTTCAGAATTTCTTTATACATTTCACATTAATTTAAAATGTGTTAAAAAAAAAAAAAAAAAAAAACAATACGTATTTGTAGTCTTCTTCTTCTTCTTCTTCTTCTTCTTCTTCTTCTTCTTCTTCTTCTCTTCCACCTTGTACCTCATCGAAGTGTCGGGGGGAGATGTAATGTTCGTTGATGAGCTCTGTCAAGAGCACTATTAAGACTGATGTTCATTTCTGTAAGGCTGTTCTTAATGCCATCACTCCATCTTTTCCGAGGTCTTCCACTCGCTTTATACCCGTTGTAACGTTTTAGTGTGGCTCGCTGTGGCAGATAGTACCAGGGCATTCTTGTTAGGTGTCCAAACCATTTCATTTGTTGTTCTTTGATGACCTGTAAGACTGGCTTTATTCCTAGCATTCGTCTGATTTCATGATTTTGTATTCTGTCTTTCCTTGAAACTCCTGCAGCTCTTCTAAGGCATTTCATCTCTGTTGTCACAATTTTACGTTCATTGGAGGATGTAAGTGTCCACGTTTGGCACTGATAGCATAATATTGGCCAAAAATAGTTTCTGATAAGATTCACTTTAGTACTCTGAGGTATCTGCTTGTGTGTCAACAGGGGAGATAGTTGACCCATTACTTGATTAGCTTTGGCACATCTGGAGCTAATTTTCTCTGTCCAGTTTTCCGTCTGAAGTAAAAAATTGCTCCAAATACTTAAATTCCTCTGTTTGTCTCAGGGTGTTGTTTTTTAATTTAATTTCTAAATTGTCTTTATGTCTTCCTATCATCATTGTCTCTGTCTTCGTAGTGTTTATTTTCATATTATTCGTATTTGTAGTTGAACACACAATAATACAATTTAATTGTGTACAATAAAAGAAGGCTTGAGCTACCCACCACCCCCCCCCCAACCCCACTAAAAGATTATTATAGGGCTGAACCCCTCGACGCCCCCCTCCCCAACCAGTGATATCCTTACAGCGGCACCCTGTCGTAGACGAGCTGCCACGATCTGCCAAACACAGCTACTCACGAGCTAAACAACACGGCCAGAAACAGGATCCACAATCTGCAGAACGCCAGGTCCATGGCGTGACCAAGGCGCCATGAAGACCAAACACCCTTCCCCTCCTTTCCCAAGACACTGCGATATTTAACTTTTTTTTTAAGCACGACTGTATACGCTAGAAGTGTTTTGATACATGTAACGCAACAGTGGCTGCAATTCGGTAAACAATAAGGGACGGTGCCGTAAAGTGCAAACTGCATGACGGTGAGACAAACAGGGATTGATAGCACTTGCATGACGTTATGTCGGGTGTACCTGTATATGTATCTGTGTGTGTGAGTGTGTAAAAAAAAAGGGGGGGGGGATGACGTACTTACAAATCAATGTGACGAAATGGTTAGAGCGCCTGCCCACCAAGACAGTGGTCTGGCCCATAAAACTACCTCACATCTACCAGAACGGGAAGCAAACGGCTCAACGATATCATCAGAAAGATTACTACATGCTGACATATATTGCGAAAATGAAAGAATCACACTATCATTGTCAAACAATAAAATCCTGAACATATTGCACACAAGTATAAAAATGAATATAAAAAAAACTAAGCTCCTTTTCACACATTTTGCTAACAAATAAACAGACTGGCACAAAGACACAGACATACACACACATACACTCACCCACAAACACATAGAAACAAAGCTGAACTCACAGACATGAAGATAAATAAATATATACAGATCAATACGCTCAGGAAAAGAACCAAACGCACACACACTAACATACACATTGGCACAAGTATTAAGACACAGAAACTGTCTGTCGCACAAACAGGTTCACGCTTTCAAGTACATACAAACAAACGTAGACGTATAGGTACACAAAAACGTATGAAAAAAAACACAAACCAGTATATATACACACACGCACACAAACACACATGCAGACACTACCTGATTCGCCCACAACTGGGTCATTTAGCCCACTTGACAAAGCCGAACTTGTTTGAGGGACAGTGAGTGTGTCAAAATAATATTCCGTCGACATGTTTACATGAAAGCATTCATCAGTTAACTGCAAATCCCCGTGTGGGCTCCAGGGCCCTATTATAAGGAAAACCAGAATAGACCCACTGCCTACGCAAAAGCATGTTGTAAGAGTCGACTAATTGGGAGCTTCCTTCGAGGTCGGAGTGCATCTGCATGAGAGGCAAGGAACCAGCAGTCTGCACACAAATGAGTCAGATCTGTAAAACGGATGCACACGCAACACTCAGGTTTTGGAACAGGACTGCAGTCCAGAAGTGGATGAACAACCAGAACTTTCCGCTAGAGTTTACAGCTGGTGACCGCGAAGAAGAAGAAGAAGTTAACTGCAAGTATTTCAGCAGTTAACTTCCAAGTATCCATACGTTAAAGTGCACGCATCCATCAATTCACAAAGTTCCATACGTTAAAGTGCACGAATCCATCAATTCACAAAGTTCCATACTTTAAAGTGCACGCATCCATCAATTCACTAAGTTCCATTCGTTAAAGTGCACGCATCCATCAATTCACAAAGTTCCATACTTTAAAGTGCACGCATCCATCAATTCACTAAGTTCCATTCGTTAAAGTGCACGCATCCATCAATTCACTAAGTTCCATACTTTAAAGTGCACGCATCCATCAATTCACTAAGTTCCATACGTTAAAGTGCACGAATCCATCAATTCACAAAGTTAACATTCAAGTACCCACGAATTACATAATGGTATATACCCTGTCTGTAGTGGGGTGGTGAACGGCAGAAAAAGATGATGCAAATGCAAAGTGTAAAAAAAATTAGGCCTCTCATCGACATCGATAAAGATTATCGGCAAGGTGCTAACTGTAGACCTGAGCTCTTCATTGACGATCAAGAGCTGGATTTCGGACACTTAATATTAATCAATGAGGTGCCATCTTCACAGTGAAGGCTGGCTGCAATGGATCTCCAACACTCTCTGTCTCTTGTCCTCGTTGTACACTCTCCCAGACTACTGCCTGTCCATCTTTTTATGTTGTCCTCCCACTTGTATCGTTGCCTACCTCTTGCTCTCTTGCCTTCGACCTTTCCCTCCAGTATGGTTTTTAAAAGTGTGTTATGTCTTTTAATGTGGCCAAAGTATTTCAATTGTCTCTTTTATATATTTTTTCAGTAATTCTCTTTTCATTTGTAGCCTTCACAGAACCTCTGTACTGGACTATTCTTGTTTCCATAAAATACGACATAGTCTTCTGTGTACCCACATTTCCAGAGACTCAGTTCGATTTTATGGTTGCTTGTTCATTGTCCACGTTTCTGCACCATATAGCAGGGCTGAGTATACATAGCATTTGACGATTATCATTCTAGAAGTATTGTTTTTTTTTCTAGCTGTCAGTAACTAGTGCATCTTATTGAAAACAGTTTTAACCATTCCCATTCTCTTTTGGATTTTTGTTTCGCTTCTTCCATCATCTGTTACTACGTGTTTTAAATAGGAAAAACTCGTTACTTGTTCTAGTAGCACTCCGTTTACTGTGATGCTTACTGGTGGCAGCTCTTTTCCATTGTAATTTATCCATCTAACATACCTGGGATCCACAGAATAACAAAGTATCAATGGACCAAGATAACATCGGGAAAAGGCAGCAACACACATAAGCAGATTAACAGCATAGTAGTAGTTGTAGTCGAGATTTCAGTTTAGCTATAAACGAGTCACCCTCATAATTGCTTCGGACTGGTGTCTTTGAAAGATCACAAGAAACGCCCTTAGAGTTCGATTGTAAACTAGTGAAAAAACAACTAGTCCTGGTAAAATTCAGAAACAAGCAAACGCAAACAGAAGAGAGATTGGGTGAAAATGAAGCTCACGGTTAACACAAAACAAAAACAAACAAAAAACAAACCATATATATCAGGGTTGTAGTCTCAAGAGTTTGTTTAGAGTAAAGAAACTTGGTGGACTTATTGGTACTAGGAGAAACGGGTAAGTGGCTTTAACGTACAATGTCTATGAAGAATACTTGAGTATTAAGTGGCAAGACAAGATCACAAAATGCTGGGTTACTGGAAAAAAGCAGATATCACAACAGTTTTCTCAGTGCTGTCTCTGAAGGCTCAGATGGCTAGAATACCCTTGGCGGGTGGAGGATGATAGAATCACTAAGAATGTCTTCTAATGTGAATTATATACATGGGCAGAGGATGTCGAAGACATTATACAGATGTGTGCAAGTGGGACATAAAGAAAGAAATTGAATAAAGAAGAAGAACATGACTGCAGATAAGACTAACAGCTGAGCGTATACGCAGAAACACGATAAAAAAGTGCGAGGGCAACAATGGTCCTAGAAGACTTTAACTCAAGCAGGTCTTGTTAGTCACACTCGCCATCGTCATGGGCTGTGGTTTCAATGCGTCCCTCTAACAAAATATAACACTATCGTCTGGAAAGAAGGGAAGGGAGACAATGAGTACAGTAGATAAATGGCCGATTTAAACAAGGCGTAATTACACTTGCTGATTCAGGTGTCAAAACCTGCAAATCACACTCTTCAATAAACATGTATAGTTAACGATTGAAATGTAATGTGGCCAGTCCTAATAATTGATTTACTGGCCGAACGACCTAAAAACCGAGCCAGCATGAAAACCTTTTTAACTTACTAATGTGAAGATCAATAACTTTTTCTGCCGGTCAAATTATAAATTATCATTACTTCATAGCTTACTAATATTAAGCACAGAAACTCATCTCTCTCTCCACCCCTCTCTCTCTCTCCACCCCTCTCTCTCTCTCTCCACCCCTCTCTCTCTCTCCACCCCTCTCTCTCTCCACCCCTCTCTCTCTCTCACCCCTCTCTCTCTCCACCCCTCTCTCTCTCACCACCCCTCTCTCTCTCTCCACCCCTCTCTCTCTCTCCACCCCTCTCTCTCTCCACCCCTCTCTCTCTCTCCACCCCTCTCTCTCTCTCCACCCCCTCTCTCTCTCCACCCCCTCTCTCTCTCCACCCCTCTCCTCTCCACCCCTCTCTCTCTCTGCCTCTCTCTCCACCCCTCTCTCTCTCTCCACCCCTCTCTCTCTCCACCCCTCTCTCTCTCTCTGCCTCTCTCTCTCTCTCTTCTACATTTCTTGCCAACGTAACAGTTACCAACTCCTCTTTATTTGACAAGGAGAAAGCTACAAACTTTCATTTAGTTAAAATTCTACTTCCTCTCCTTGATATGAAAGCAATGGCAAACTACTAGACGCAACTAACTTTTAATTCCTTGATATGTTGATAACAATTCATATCCTCATTCCCTAATGTATAGAAAAGTTTGTCGATTCATATGTCTAAGTCTCATAACTCTGGGAGGTGACAGTGGCGTAATGGTTTAAGCCACTTGCCTCGTACTCTAAAGGTCCTCGGTTCGGTTCACGAATGCAATGTCTATGCAGACCCCAGGTTCATCGCCACATCTACGGTGTTAGCGCTTTGTGCGACCCTCACACAGGCGTCTTGTCGGGCTGTGGAGAGAAATCGAACCATATGGAGTGAAACCCCGGTGCAACGAATCCGATCCTTTCGTAACTTTTTATTTTTAACCCTTTCTTTTAACTCTCTCTCTCTCTCTCTCTCTCTCTCTCTCTCTCTCTCTCTCTCTCTCTCTCTCTCTCTCATGATTATAAGTTTAGATTAGGCGCATGCCAGCAGCTGGGATCAACCCGGCATCCCGGCATTACGAAGCGTTCGCATCGACTTAGCCACAGAGCCGACTTGCAAGCTTTAGCGTATCACAAATAAAACACTCCCCAAAGACATACATATAAATCCTACTTTGGCTCAGACGACTGATCAGCTGACTTTTTCTCAAGCGGGTCGCTGCCCTCAGTCACCGCGTCTGTGACCCCTCCATTCTCCTGGTTGCTGTCAGTGTGTGGCGGTGAGGTGAAGCTGCCATAGTTTCTGAGAACGCCAGCCATATCCTCCATTTCTGTAAACAAATAAAATGTACGTTTATTTGGGCGCTTGTGTTCTTGTTATGATCATAATAAAAATGTCACTGCTCTTAAATAAATAGCGCTTTTTAAAATACTTCTTCTTCTTCTTCTTCACTTCCTCTTTTACCGCTGTGGGTGTCGAGGGAGATATAAGGTTCTGTTTCTAGCTCTTCTGGCTGCCTCGACCATAGGCACATCGTGCTGTTGTAGAGTTTCGCTGATGTTATCCTTCCATATTGTTCTTTGTTTACCCCGTGCTCTACGTCCTTCTTCTCTTTCCATGTATGCTTTGTATGGTATGGTGTCACAAGGCATTCTCTCTAAGTGGGCAAACCATTTCACTTGCTGTCTTTGTATGTAATCCAGAATTGGTTCTGTGCCGACTTGTTCTCTTTTTTTTTTAAATACTGCTCTTTACAATCAGGTAAAAAGTCACCCTTGCCACAGAAACAGACAAAGAAACAAACCATTATATTTAGACTGCTTACTGGATGCCACAGACTGCAGTCATACGAACTAGAAATTCAGCACTGGGAATTCGGAAAAAGGAGGGGGGGGGGGGGGGGAGGGAGGGGGATCAAACAATTTTAAAACTGAATTCATTTGTACTTGTAATAATCGGTATTTTCAGCTTTTTCGGCCATGAAAACAAAATAACGCTGCTAGCTCAGTGTGGAGAGAAATATCCGTTATGCCTTGGCCTACATTAGACCCAGTTTCAGCTATTACATTGATATTTGGACACTAAACTACCATTTGTTGGTCCTCTTCCCCCCCCCCCCCCCCACCTTAAAAAAATTATATGACATTTTGTACTTAAGATTTTTCTTTCTGTGCTCCTCTTTTTAAATCACATATTTTAATATTTGGGAAAGAAGAAGAAGAAGAAGAAGAAGAAGAAGAAGAAGAAGAAGAAGAAGAAGAAGAAGAAGAAGAAGAAGAAGAAGAAGAAGAAGAAGAAGAAGAAGAAAAAAAGAAGAAGAAAAAAAGAAGAAGAAGAAGAAGAAGAAAAAGAAGAAGAAGAAGAAGAAGAAGAAAAAGAAGAAGAAAAAGAAGAAGAAGAAGAAGAAAAAGAAGAAGAAGAAGAAGAAGAAGATGAAGAAGAAGAAGAAGAAGAAGAAGAAGAAAAAGAAGAAGAAGAAGAAGAAGAAGAAGAAGAAGAAGAAGAAGAAGAAGAAGAAGAAGAAGAAGAAGAAGAAGAAGAAGAAGATCCCTATTAATAAAATTGTGAAATATTATGGTCTATTGTTTCTGAGAGCGGTAGTAACGTAATGCCTAGACGCTCGACTGTCGGCTTAGATTCGAATCCCCATGGAAAGCGAATTTTTTTAAGAGGGGGGGGGGGGGCCCGACCTTGTCTCACAGGTCGAACCAACCTAAAATGTGTACTAGGTAATGTTGTAGGAAATAAAGGCGGTTGGCGTGATTTTCAGCAAACCAGACACAGAGAATTACGAGGCTTAAATATGAGCCTAACACGGTGGAGCCGAAAGCAGGGAGGTGGGCCTCAGGCCTCAGGCCTAAGCCCTCCCCACCTCTCCAACCCCCTTTCTCCAGTCCGTTTAATGATTTCTTTGTGTCGGTCTTCCTGGTCTTGCAATAAAAGCCTGATGGTCCACAAGTAAAGGCCCTTTTACTAACTCTCGTATCCGATGTATAACTTCTACTTTTAGTGCAATAATATATTTGATTTATACATTTAACTGACATAATTGAAGACTGTCAATGTTCACTTGCCTGCTTGTATTGTGTACGTGTCAAAAATCAAAGTGGCAGTCACCATAGTTTAATCCAGTAATTTAAACAGTCGGACAACGCGTTCGGTGTGTAGTCTCTATTGCCTGGCGGGTCATGTTGGTCACAAGAGACAGGCGATGTCACCGACCAGTCAAAGGTCAAAGGTTTAGTTTGTGTAAATGTGTTAATATTTCACCTTAGGACAAAAGACCCCTTTTCCGCACCTTCTCGCGTATTGGGTATATAGGGCTATACCTACATTTTACAGACCATTCGACACTCAATGGGTGATTTAGTCAACATCACGCTGGTCGCCTTTACTTCCCATCATTTTTACCTGATACCCATTTCTTGACCTGTGAGCCAAGGTCATTTTTGAAACCTTTCGGCACCATTCGAATTTGAGCCCACCTCTTCCCTATCCGTAGGCGAACGTCTAGCAGCTACACCACGACGGCTCTGTTTGTAAGATTCATTTGATTTGATTAGATTCTAGAACCGACATCACAGCACTCAGGGCATTCACATAAGCGCTCCGTCCCCATCTTCAGCAGCCAGCGAAGAGTTCCGATACTAATGGTGCCAGTAGCATTCTGATTAAACGTCCGTCCTGCCTTTCCTCTGAGCCTCGAGCATCTGCCAGAACCTCTCGTCACTCCCAACTGCATCAATCTCACCAGACTGTGGTGATCCATCTGCTCCTCCGAACTATACACGCTCTCCCACAAGGCACTAACCACGTCTGCCTTATCATGTATTAGTGTGTCACCAAGCTGTGCAGAGCCAGCCAGTCTGTCCGCCTGTTCATTTCCCAACACACCGGCATACCCCGGTGAAAAAATCTAGACAATACTCCTCACCCGTGTCTTCCGCAGCGAAGCATGCCATCTGTACGAAGCATATCTGTTCTGATCTTCCTCAGCATACTTTCTGAATCAGTTACAGTCACGATGTGTGTGTGCGTGTCGTGTTCTCTAGCCAGCGAAAAGCTGCAGTGACCGCCTCTACCTCCATTCTTAAGCTGGATGTTGTGGTATCATATGCTAGGCTCTCCTGCACCAAACGTAGTCCATTAACGTTTCCTAAGAAGCCTCAAGCACTTCTTTTGCCTCTCGACACTGAACTGTCTGTGTAAATGATCAAATCCTCTGAGCGAGCATTATCTTGAATTAACTGCTGAATTTCCACCTCCGTGGCACCTGCTGGCCAATCTCTGCATTCCCGGCTCAGCGTGATTATGACTCTACACAAGTCTGTTCAGGTGGCACTTTGACGCACTCCTCTCCCCGCCTAATGTTCTCAAGGATGCAAACCTGTCTGATTGTGTTTTCTACCTGAGCCATCTTTGACCTCCTTCTTATCAGCCGATGACCCTTAACTGCACCCAGAGCTTCATGTAAATGGTGGTCTGTGTCTGCGGCTACCCTGAGATATGACTTCGCCTTCAGAACCTTGTGCCTACCTGCAACCGTCGGCAAACCAAGGATATATCCCATACACATTACTGGAGTGTCTCTGGTGCAACCCAGAATGACCCACATAGCCGCATTCTGTAGCCGCTCTAGTTTGTCCATCTGACTTTTTGAGACGGTAAGCAGTCCCAGGCCATAATCAACCACTGACAAGATCAGGTGATGATACAGAGTAAAAAGCATTCTCTGCTCTATGGCAATTGCAGCCATAGTCTTATGTGCACTAATTCCTTTTTGGCATCTCGTCACAACACTCTCCACATGGTCCTTAAATGACAGGCTCCTGTCAAATGTAATTCCCAGATACTTCAGTTTGCTCTCTCTGTTGACGTTTCTACCATCTATCGTGAGACCTGGGAAATTAGCTTTAACGATTCTGTTGTTCAGAGAACCCCACAAAACAGACGCCTTTTCCGGGTGGACGACAGCCCTCATTGCTGTACACCACTCAGTCACTTTGTCTACTGTAGCTTGTAGCTCCCGGGCTGTTTGTTCCCTCTCCCCCTCCCCTCTGCCTATATGCAAGTATATCATCCGCAAAAGTCAGTATCATTCCAACTCCTGGTGCTTCTAGGCTTGCAATCTTGCTCGTATACACGTTAAAGAGCACAGGCGAGATGGCGGATCCCTGTGGTAGTCCTCAGGCCAAACTGTATCATTCTGAGGTCCATGAGCCCAGTCGGAGAGCAACCCGACGTGAATACAGAACAGCTGCAACCCAATTCACCAGCCATGGACTGACCTCCTTCTCCTTCAGTGCAGTCATTAATGTTACCATACCTGACTCCATCAGGCCCTGGTGCAGTGTCTTTTGCTTTTTTCAAAATTTGTTTGATATCTTCCCTGATTTCTACATCATTATGATCTGTCTGAGCTAAAAACCTATGGAGAAAAACCTCCCCTTTCTCCTTGTCTGTTGTCATACGCACACCATCATCTCTTCAAATTGTTCCGACTGTCATAGGCCGATCTTTTCTTTGCATCTGCCTTTGCAGTTTCCAGAATTTCCCCAATGTTTTATCGCCTCCATATATCCTTCACAAAAGTTTCCCACTTTTGCTCTTTTGGCCTCTGCAGCAAAGCGCTTGAAAACCTCCACCTGATCTTTTTTTACGTTCTGCGCCATCCCCACTTCCTCTCATGAGCTTGAGGGTGTCTGTCGTACTTTCTTTAACTGCTTCACTGCGGCTCTCTTTGCCTTCCACGCCTGTTCTACTTCTGGAGTCCACCATGGGGGCTGTAGAAAATTAGTTCTGGCAGTTCTGTTGCATGCTCCATGTCTGAGGCGTCCAAGTAAGTTGTTGGTCTTCTTATACCCGAAGGTCTTGCGTGCTCTCCCAACCTTAACCTTACTGAGTTTAGAAATCAAGACTGTAAATGGTAGGTGATCACTCCCATGGTCATTCACTGTAAGTCCTACGCACACCATGTTTGTAAAAAGTTTCTATCACATTATTACTTCTCAAATCAACTTTCCACCCGAAACAAACGAGTAATTGTTATGGAATCCGCAATGAAGCCACAAGAAGTCATACTGAAAATATGTTGTAAGTCCATCACGAGTGATGAAGACCACTTTCATCAATGATTGTGAGTACGAAGCTGGCTGATTAGTCCAATATGAGCCAGGAAAGTTCTTGAGCAGTGCGGACAACAGGTGGAAGCCGCAGTAGGTGTGGGATTAGCAGTACAATTCTTTCTAGTCTGCCTCCGTTTCTCTGTCTGAGCAACCTCTGCTGCCTGGCAGGCCGATGCACTATGTCTGAGGGACGTATGCCATCCAG